GGTTGGAATATTTTCTGCATGGAGTATTTCACTGACAACTGTAGTTTCTCACAGTCTTTTATGTCACATAGCATTTTGTCGGACTGCCTCTCTGCTGCCATCTGCCAAACATATCAAAAGGCAATGGGATATTGGTGGGAAGGTACAACCTCTGCTGTCATACCTTCAACATCCGCTTTGTCTATCTTTGGGCTCCACAATAAAATGGGAGGCATTGCTTTCAGAGCATCCCTCATTGGTATCACAATATCAATATGTAAGTAACAAAACATTAAAGTTTGTCATATTTGTCTGTAAACTTCAACAAAAGTGAACAAACCCATAAAACTAGTGTGGGATATTTGTTGTTTTTTTCACTGAAACCAATGCATCAGGCTGGTTTGGTTGTAGCGGTTGCAATTCTTACTGAGATCTCAATGACTTCGTGAAAGATTTTTGATTAAAAGTTACTCTTCCTGTACTTCACTCTTGATAATAGCCATTCACAAATGGATATGGTGCCCAAAGGCAATGACGTGAGTAAATGGTGACGGTAAATTGAGAGATATTTCTCTGTGATAATCTTGGGTTTGTGAAAGTCTTCCCCAGCCAGGTCTCTAGCTGCATGGCCCAAGCTGCAGAATGCAAAGGTAAGAACTTTGAGAAGGAAGATCTGTGTGCTGTGAGTTAAGATCAATTTGGTGATCATCTAAAGAAGCTGCAGGCGCACAAGTGCATGGGACCCAGTGAGATCCATTCACGGGTTCTGAGGCAAATGAGGTTGCCAAGCCATTATCCAACATATTTGACGGGTGATGGGAGTCTGGTGAAGTTCTCATTGTTTGGAAAATGGGAAATATAACCCTCATGTTGAAGAAGGGAAAAAAGGAAGATGCAGGGATTTGAAGGCCACTCAGTCTCACCTCTGTGTCTGGCAAGATCGTGGAGCAGATTATCCTGAAGACCCTTTGGAGGTACCTGGAGAACAGAGGAGGTGATTGGTGGTGACCAACATGGCTTCAGCAAGGGCAAGTCATGCCTGACAAGCCTGGTGGCCTTTCATGATGAACTTACAGCATCAGTGGAGAAATGGAAAGCAACTGATGTCATCTACGTGGACTTGTGAAAGGTTTGCTAAGGTTCCGCATGACGTCTGGTCAGCAGATTGGAGAGAAATTGATTGATGGACAGACCAGTCGATGCTCAAGGAATTGGCTGGATGGTCACGCTCAGAGAGTTGTAGTCAATACCGCGATGTGCGGGTGGAGACCGCTGATGTGTGTCTGTCCTCAGGGATCACAGCTGGGAGTGGTGTTGTTTAACATCTTTGGAGGTGTCATGGCCAGTGGAATTGAGTGCACGCTCAGCAGTACTGCAGATGACACAGAGCTGAGTGATGCAGTTGAGATGCCAGAAGGAAGGGATGCCATCCAGAGGAACCTGGTGGGGCTGGAGAGGTGGTCCCATGCCAACCTAATGAAGGTCAACCAAGACAATTGTGACATGCTCTGCCTGGTTCCAGCCAATCCCTTGAACAGATAAGGTTGGGCAGAGAGTGTCTTGAGAGCAAGGCTGTGGAGAAAGATTAGGTGGTGTGAGTTGGTGAAAGACCTACATGGGCAGCCATAGAATCAAAGAATCACAAGATTGGATGCAACCTGCCAGATCATCCAGTCCAGCTGTCCTCCCACCATCATTGCTACCAAAAGCACTAAACCATATCTGGTAGCTCCTCATCCATATGCCTCATGAACACTTTCCAGGGACTGCAACTCCACCACCTCTCTGGGCAGTCAATCCAGTGCCTGCCCACTCTCTGAGACAAAAAAGTTCTTCCTTATGTCTATCCCAAACCTCCTCTGGTACAACTTGCAGCCATTTCCTTGGGTCCTGTCTGTTGCCTGGGAGAAGGGGCCAAACCCCTCCTCATCACAACCTCTCTTCAGGAAGTTGTAGAGTGTAATGAGGTCTCCCCTGAGCCTCCTCTTCTCCAGACTAAACAGTACCAGCTCCCTCAGCTGCTCCTCATAAGACTTGCGCTCCAGACCCGTCACCAGTTTCGTTGCCCGTCTCTGGACACATTCCATGGCCTCAAGGTCTTTCTTGCAGTGAGGGACCCAAAACTGAACACAGTACTCGAGGTGTGGCCTCCCCAGTGCTGAGTACAGGGGGATGATTCCATCCCTGCTCCAGCTGGCCACATTATTTTTAGTGCAGGCCAGGATGCTGCTGGCCCTCTTGGCCACCTGGGCACACTGTCGTCTCATATTCAGTCGAGCATCAACCTACACCTCCAACTCTTCACAATCATCCACCCACGCAGCCCCAAGCCTAAACTGCTGCATGGGGTTATTGTGGCCAAAGAGAAGGACTCGTCACTTGGCCTTGCTGAACCTCATCTCATTCACCTCAGCCCAGCGATCCAGCTTATCTAGATCCCTCTGAAGGGCCTCCCAACTCCCAGGCAGATCAACTCCACCTCCCAACTTGATGTCATCTGCAAACTTACTGAGGGCTTAATCCCCTCATCTAGTTCATCGATAAAGACATTAAACAAGATGGGCCCCATTACAGATCCCGGCGGGACGCTGCTTGTAGTGAGTCACCAGCTGGTCTTTGCTCCATTAACTAGTACTCGGTGGGCACAGCCCTCTAACCAGTTCCTTACCCAAAGAAGGATAAACCTGTTTCCAGGCCACGGGCAGCCAGTTTCCCCAGAAGAATACTGTGAGAGACCGTGTCAAAGGATTTGCTGAAGTCTAGGTAGACTACATCAACATCTTTTCTCTCATCTTTGAGTTTTATCATGCAGTCCTAGAAGGAGATGAGGCTGGTAAAGCACAACCTGCCTTTCATGTGCTGGCGAGGCCATATCCCCTGGATGCCACGCAAGTGCCACGTGATCTCACCCAAGATGATTTGCTCCATGTCTTTACCTGGTACCAAGGTCAGGCTGTGAGGCCTGTAGTTTCCCGGATCCTCCTTACAGCCCTTCTTGTAGATGGGAGTCACATCGGCAAGCCTCCAATCTCCAGATAACCAGGAGTGCTGCTAGATGGTGGAGAGCAGCTTGGCAATCACCTCTACCAGTTCCCTCAGCACCCTAGGATGGAGCACATCTGGCCCCGTGGCCTTATGACAGTCCAGATGGAGAAGGAGCTCTCTCCCTGTCTCTGCCTGAATCAACAGTGTGAATTCTGAGTAGCATGCAAGACTTCCAGATCAGGGCGTAAAGTGCCCTGAGGATAACTGATCTGCCTATTGAAGGCAGATGCATAGAAGGTGTTGAGGACCTCAGCCTTCTCCTTATCCTCAGATAAAGAAAATATATTCAGTGTGTTTGGATGGATTGTAAGACAAATCGGGGAATTGTCTCAGAGCACAATATGTGCAAATGGAACAGTGAGAAAAGTGTAGAAGTGGCCATCATTTTGTGCCTTCCCTTTTATTCTGTCTTGCTGAGGTTTCTCAATGAGAGTGAAGAGCAGCAGTAACAATATGGTGTGCAGATTTTCTCTTAGAGTGCATGAATTTTCATTTGGTTCATTTTCATTTTGCTGCTTGGATTTTGATTGAGCATTGTCTTATGTGTTCCCCTTGAAATATACAGTTCTCCAAGCAGAACACCTCAGTGCCGCGCCGCGTGTGGAAATGTTTAATTAAAAGCGCAACGCCACTGAATATTTGGAGGCAGACGCAGCGTAGTGCTGCGTGTTTTCTGCTTCCTTCTCCGCTGCGTGCGGCGGCGAGAGGCC